AGTAGCGTGATGAAGGGCAGACACTTTCCTGATGGGCTGCCACTTGTCTCAGCACAGGAACGAAAGCCTAGATTCTCTGATACGTTTGTGAGAAGCCAGAAAACCCGATTTCTGTAAAAAGCACATTGATATTTGAATGTGGACAGCTGTAGCAGATGTTGTCCTGGCCTTGATCCTTTCCTTGTTCAGGCCACTGCAGTGTGGCAGACAGTGTCTTTTTACACGAGAAGATCAAAATGGTGAATGTTTAAATTTATTACAGTAAAAAACACACCGCTATACATGTCCCTGAGAATACTCCCCCTCGGGCCAGTGAGATAGCTCAGGGCTGGTGAGATAGCTCAGTAGACTAAGCGTCTGCTTAGGTGAGTGTGAGGACCAGGATTCGATCCACAGTACCTCAGCGCAAATCCCGCCTTGGGCACACTGAGCCAGCAAATGAGTCCAGGCGTGGTAATGCACACCTGTAATCCCAGTGCTGGGGAGGCTTTAAACAGGAGGATCACTATGAATCTGGTCTGTGTAGTGAGACCCTGTACCAAATACATTAAAAAAAAAAAACTCTCCCCGAATTTGAACATACCCATTCCATTATTTTTGCTACTTTTTGAAGAAGTTCTAGAAGTCTCTTTTTTTTTTTTTTTTTTTTTTGGTATTTTAGAGAAGGGTCTACAGGGGGTTCACAGCCTCACTAGTAGATCAGGCTCGTAGTGATGTGCCTGTTTACAGCCTCCCAAGAGCTGGGATTACAGGCACGCGCCACCACACCCAGTCTCAATTACTGTCTCAGTGTGTCCTGGGGGCGGGGCCCACACAGCAGGCCCCAGGATCAAACCCCTGGCCCCTGTGCCTGCTTGTAGGTCCTTTACTCTGCTGAGCTATTTGGCCGGCCCTTGGAAGTCGTCTTTTGCGAGTATCTTTACGTGATCAGAAATGCAGTGAACGCCACTGCCAAGTGCTCTCCAATAGAAAGGCGGGCTCGCAAACACATTACAGTGTGACCGCATCCACCTATCCACCGCCCCGGCAGTGTGCACCTGCTGGCGCTTCCCCCGCATCAGAGTGACCGTGTGAACACTGCTGCCTTCTCAGGTGGTGGATGGGAGAAACAGAGTTGAGGAGATGCATAGCTCATTTCAGTGGGAAAATTAAATTTCTTCAGGGTCCTGCAGGGACTGGCTGGGGACCCACACCTACATATGAGAGTGTGCAAGTGAAGTCTGTCATTTTAAAGATTCATATCCATAGTACAGGATACATGCTTAACAAAAATACCATTTGAAGGGCCGGTGAGATAGCTTAGGCAGACTAAGTGCTTGCTTAGGTAAAGTGCAGGGGCCAGGGTTTGGTCCCTGGCATGGCATGCCATGCTGGCCCTGCCCCCAGGTGCACTGAACTGGCAAACAGAGTCTGGGCATAGTGGTGCACAGCTGTAATCCCAGCACTAGGGAGGCAGAAAACAGGAGGATCACTGCGAGTCCAAGCTATGTAGACCTGCCCTGAAGGCCCTCTAATAAAAAAAAAAAAAAAAAAAAAGCAAAAACCACCATCATTTGAGGATTTTTTAACATGAAAAAGAAGTCCTGCAGCACGGCCTGGAAAGTGGTAGACTCAATCAAACAGAACCAAAATGCTCTGTACAGTAAAGCAAGAAAGTTTTGAGTTTTCTAGAACATTCCAGAAGGGACATGAGAAGGCCCTTTGGTAGGGGAAGAGGAAGCTTGGGGCCAGGTAAGGAGTTTCTAGGTGATAGATGGCTTCAAGTTACTGAGAAGGAGGGATTCACAATGTCACCTGTCAGAGCCCCAGAGCTGTGCTGGCTGTCATGGTTATGCTCAGTGTTAAAGCCATTCCGTATGCCTGCCAGGTACAGTGTAAGAAGGCAAAGACCATCTGGGCCTGGTGCTAATGCTGCTGAGCTATCTCCCTACCCCCTAGTGTAGGTTTAAGTAGGTGCACACTTAGCCGGGTATGGTGGCGCCACCTGTAATCCCAGCTACTCAGGAGGCTGAAGCAAAACAGCTAGTTCAAGGCCAGCCTGGGCAACTTACCAAGGTCCTGTCTTAAAAAATTAAAATGAAAAGGACCAGAATGCAGCTCTGTGCAGAAGTCCTGGGTTCAAACCCCAGGACTACCCTGAACGAGTGCATGAATGGATAAACAAATACACATAGCTCTTCCACCACACCACCCAAAGTAGGCTTGGGATGTGCTTTGCAAGGAGCGGGGAATGAAAACCTTATTGTAGGCAGGTGAGTGACAGAGTAAAACCTGCCGGGGTCAGTGTGCACTTTGTGGGGTAGGCAGCTGTGTTCATGTACAGATATGTGCATATTTGAATTTTTGCTACAAGTCAGTGTTTGCCTTTATGCATTTGAAATGTACCAAAATGATCTCAGCCAAAACATAAAAAAATTTTTTTTCAAAACTTAGTTTTGAAAACCCAAGAATTTCTTTTTGTTGCCTATAATTTATTTCTTAATGTAGTGGACATAATCCAAACTTAGGCATTTTTTTTTTCTTTTGGATTCTGGCAAGTATGTTAACAGGAGGCAATTACGTGAATTAATATAAAATCCTTTTTATTAACAAAATAGAAAAGCCTTCATCTGAGAGGAAATTGAATATTCCCCCCTCAGTGGTGTCGATGTCATGAACTCATTTGATTAACTCCTCAAATGGTTTCGGAGTGCTCCGGGGTGGTAATTTCTGAACTCCTAATTGATTTCCCCAGTCTTGGTTGGGCAGAGGCGGGGAAGTGGGGAGCTGGACGCCACACCCCCTTCCTTCTCCACCAAGGGGAGGACATCAGACAGGGAGCCGCGGTAAGGGACACGATGGCCGTGACTCCTGGCCAGGCCTGTTGCGGGTCCTGACTGGAGAGCAGCCGGGCCTTTGCTTCCCCTGGAGATGGGAGAACCGCTTCCCACCCGGTGTCCCCTCAGAACGATCGCCCCTTGTCTGGATGCCCGAGGGGTTCCAGACCGTGTGGGCTGCGGGCCCTCGCTGTGGGCCTCTCTGCTTCCTGCTGAGGGCGGCCCTTCCTCAGAGGCCTGGCCCAGGATGCCTCTCTGCCTGGCCCTGCGCTCCCTCCTGCTGTGCGCCTGCAGATTGCCCTCCACGCCTCCCAGGTGGGAATAACTGCCCCCCCCGCTGCAGATGACCGAGGAAGGCTCCGAGAGGAACCCCACACTGAGCAACAGAGACTTAACCCCAGCGGCCTGGCCTCCCAACCCAGGTCAGCAGAGAACTCTGGATTTCCGGTCACAGGTGTAAGCTCCTCCCCCACTGCCAAGTGCACAGTGGTGTGAAAATGTGTCAGGAGCTGTCTTGAACCTGAGTCTCACATAAATCTCACCTGGAAATGGGGACAGTGACTCCTCACTGGCTGCTCGAGTAAGTGAGATAGCCTAAGCCTGGCCCATGGGCTCCAGGTGCTTCCCAGAGCAGGGACCTGGAGCCGGCTGCCTTGAGATCAGCTCCCTCTGAGGCGAGTGGAGGAAGAAGAGGGGGTGTCTGTTGGGGCTGAGGAGGTGGGACCTAAGTGAGCCTGCACGGCCTGCTGTGGTGCTGGAGAGAAGTCCAACCAAACCTCTGGCAGTAGGACCAAGGGCTCTCTCCCAGCAGTGAATACCTAAGGGCTGGTGTGGGCCTTCACTCTCCTCGCTCTTCACCATGGAAGAGGAAGGCTCAGGACCACCAGGGTCACCAGAAGAAGCTGAATGTGATGGCGCAAACCTGTAATCCCATCACTTGGGGGGCTGAGGCAGGAGGATCACATGAGCAAGGCCACCTTGGCTATACTGCAAATCCAAGACCACTTGGATTACATAGCAAGAGGTTGTCTCAAAAAAAAAAAAAAAAAAAACCAGAACAAAACAAAACACAGATAGGTCCAGTGGCTACCCTCTCAGCCTCTGAACATGTTGGTGTCCGTCTCTCTCACTGTGTAGGCTATATGACCTGGGCAAATCGCTTGACTCTGCCTCAGTTTCCTCATCTGAAAATGGGGACGATGTTGTCCATCCCTCCTGGGGGAAATGAATACTTCCAGGGAAAATTCTCAGAACAGAGGTGGACACAAGGCTGTGTAGTGTCTGCGACAGCCCGGCCTGGCTCTGTGGTAGCAGGCAGCCCATGCTCCTCTGCCTCTGAGCCTCCCTGTGCTCCCCACCCACTCTCTTCCCATGCACCCCACACCCATGGACTCAGAGCTCAGAGGTTGCTTTTCAGTGTCAGAGGCCTCTGGTTTGTTGGTGGGCCTGGAATGGTTTTCTCACTGAAAGTGGGGAGGGACCATAAGGAAGAGCAGGACAACAGAAAAGTCACCACGTGTTGGTCCCCTGTGGTGCTGGTGGCCTCTCCGGAATGCTTCTCTGAGCCCCAATCCCAGCAGCTGTTGGACTCCAGGCCCACGCATGACCTGGCCACAGGACAAGCACTCCAGGGTCTAAGGAGGCAGCTCTGACCGGAGACACAGGGCACCCAGAGCTTCCTCCCACCAAGACTGGGAAAGGCTTCCCAGACTGTCACCCTGTCCCAGCAGTACTTAGCATAGCCCCGGGCACAGGGAGCAGGCTCATCCCTGGGCAGCAAGGACTCCACTGTAAGCCATGTTGCCATTCATAGAATCTCAATCATGTCAACCCCAGTTTTCTTGCCACCAGCCCTTGAGATTTTACCCCCATGGACATATGTAGGGACTTGCTGGAATGCGATGTATATATAATGCACCAGCCCCCTCAGAAGGGCCCCGTGAGCTCAACCCACCTTGTTATCCCTTAGAGAATGGTCACCCAACCAGAAACTAGGCTTTAGGGGGAAGTGGAGAAAGTTCCACTGGGTCTCTGGAAAGAGGAGGGGTGCCCAGGCGCCTTTCACACTTCCAGGATGTCTGCCGCCCTCCACTGCTCCAGAGATAGTGAGGAGATGGCTTCCAGTCCCCACACCCCAGCCCCTCAAGAACATTCGTGCCGCCCACGTGCCCTCCAAGGCCTTACCTGTGTGCGTGGGGCCCGCTGGCCAGGAGGTGCTGCTCTGCGGGCGTGTGACAGCCCACAGCCAGCCTCGCCGACTGGCATCAGGGAGCCTATTTTTAGGGTCAGATCTGCTGACGCTGACCTTGCCTGCCGTCCAGTCTGAGCGAAGACCTGTGGCATTTGCTTGCAAAATGATTCGCTGCTGGTGTCACCTGAAACCCTTGCCTTAGGAAGTCCCATACCTGGGCCCCACGTGCCTGTCCCCAGGGAGGGACAGATGGGAATTTCCCAGCTTTGTTTTCTTTGGATGGATAAGGCCAGGTGTCATGTCTACAGGCCCTGCCTTGAGCTCTGTCCCTAAATAGCTGGCACAGGGTGGATCTGTCTGCTGCCACAGAGCCCACAAGAGGACAAGGGATGTCCACCATGGCGACCTCTGCACTCAGTCTTTTCCGAGGGTTCGGAGCCATCCCAGGAGCACTGGAATGGAGGGCACCCACACAGTGATGGGGAAACCGGGCAGGACTCTGAGCCTGGGATGGTTTGCATGGCGCAGCTTGCCATGAGACTCTGTCCTCAACTCAACCAGGGCGATGGGCATCCTGCCTTCTTCTCCTGTGAGTACAGGGACAGGGAGGGAGTCAGAAGTGCTGGCATTAGCAGAGTCCAGGGCAAGGATTCTTTCTAGAGACGTCTGAGGGGAGCCCCAGCCCCAGGCAAGGGCTGAGGAGCAAGAGGGCACCGAAGATGGGGCATCAGCAGGGGAGTGCCCAGAGAGCACAGGGCGCGGGGAAGGTAGGGCTACTGCTGCTGTGAGGAGCTTGTGGGCGCCCCGGAGATCTCAGCAGAAAAGCACACCCAGGCAGCAGGTGGAAGAGCGGTCCACCAGGAACGACTGCACTTCCTGTGTAACCCCAAGGGCAGGACTGGGCCCCGCACCTGCCTCATGTGGGTGAGAGCGAGCCAGGGAGCCCCAGGCTGAGCTCTGTGCCCCCTGGTCCCAGCTCCAAGGGACCCCCCAAGGTTATGTGTGCCTGGAGCCCGGCTAGTGCAGGGAATGTGATCCCTGGCCACTGTCACTGTCATGGAGGTCTGTCTAGGAGCTTCCACATAGGCGTGTGGACATGGGTATCACCCTTGAGAGGCTCATTGGCACAAAGTCTTTGTACTCTCTATCTCTAGTCCATCTCCTATGGATTAATTAGAATCATGTACACCTGTTTTTTTATATTTATTTAGCAGTACTGGGGATTGAACTCAGGATCTTGCACTTGCCAGGCAGGTGCTTATGCCACTGAGCTATCTCCCCAGTCCCTGTTTTTTTTTTTTTTTTTTTTTTTCCATGTTGGGGATTGAACCAGGGATCACTGAACTCATTCCTGGTGCTTTTTTTTTTTTTTTTTTTTTTTTTTTAGACAGGACGTCACTTTACAGTATAGACTGGCCTCAAACTACAGAAATCCTCCTGCCTCAGACTCCCATATCTGGGATTACAGGTATGCAACACCACATCTGGCTGGAAGTCCAGGATTTAAATTTTAGCTCTGAAAAGAACCCAAGACAAAGCAAAAGAGACCAAGGCCTATGTTTTGTGGGCCTCAAGAGGCCTGCCCTGTGTCTTAGACTTTTTCCCTGGGAGGGGACTGAGGAGAGTTGTCATCCCTCCTGGGTCATGGCACTCAGCCTTCCTGCCCCTTCACCCACTGTCACCCCCTGGCCTCCTGCCACCTCCAAGCTTGACACCACCCCCTTCTTCCAAATCACCTCTTACTTTGAGTGATAACCTGGGATGGAGGGGACCCCAGAAGAGAGCAGGAAACAGCTCCGGCTTCAGTCTCCAATCACTCTCTTCTCTGAAAATTGTTGGATAGCCCTGTCCCAGAATTCCTCCCTGCAGAGACCGAGTTCTGTTAGGTTCAGCGGTGCTGAGGCACCTGTCCATGTGTACAATGCTCACAGCCTCCCTTTCTACCTTCTGTGCTCTCCTCTCAAAAGATTTCAGCTTCTTTTTTCCTTATTATGCATTGCCAGGCATGGGGGCGCACACCTGTAATCCCAGCATGTGGGAGGCTGAGGCAGGAGGATCACCACAGTCTGAGGCCAGCCTGGGCTACATAGCTTAGCCCTGTATCAGAAAATCAAAATAATAATAACAACAATGATGATGATAATAACAATCCAACTCCCTCTTAGCCTCAACTTCCCAGGGACCCCACTTCTCATCATAAAACCCACCAACACATTTTTCTGAAAGAGTGTCCTAGACAAAAAGATAATTTTTTGATTGTCTTAAGTAATATCTTCCACAAAACCCTAGAAATGGGAACTCCTAATGTGAGCTTATATTTCGTTTTTATTGTTTTATCGTTTTTATTGTGTTTCTGTATGTATCTTAGGCCAGTCCTGAACTCACTGAACAGCCTAGGCTGGTCTTAGACTCTGTGGTCCTCCTGCCTCAGCCTCCTGAGCTCTGGGATTACAGGTGCGTCAGCCATGCCCAGCTGCTAGATTGTATTTTTTTTCCAATTTTTATTTTATTTTATTTTTTTCCATAGTTTTATTGAGAAACAAATAGCAATGAGACAGTTTCAAATCAAATTGGTAGGACAGTTTCAATAATTAACACATTGCATACATTCTTCCTAGT